CTAAAGAGTAATTATTGCTTTCCCAAGGCTAATTGACTCCTCGGTTTAAATTCAAAACTGATTTTGACTTTTTTTTTTATCCAAATGTTAAAAGTTTATATTTCCTAAGTATACTAAATATATATAGTAAAATCTTAATACATGCATAACTACTGGCTACGTAGCCCCGTCCCGTATTCTTGTTTGGGTGCAGTCACACCATGCACATCTGGTGTGACACACACCCCTGTGACCAGGGTTCGTGTAAACCCGTCACAATTTTTGTCTAACTTAAGTAATATAGACCGACAATGCATATGTAGGTAGATCAAATATGGCAAAACTCCTTCACATACAGCATTTTCGTGCGTGTTTCGCTCGCGTCTGGTTACAAGCGTGTTCATATCGATTATCATAGCTCCCAGCCATAGCGTCGCGCATTCAGCGCTTGATGCTCAATTTCATTGAGAAATATTCGCTTACAGTACTAATGTACGTACACAAATATGAATCCCGTTATATTGCTTATGAGAATCTAATAAAATCCAGTGTTAGCCTTGAAATCTTTGGATGTCGCAGTTTGCTGAACTGGAAGCTCGATGCGCATGATAACGGGGGAGGACAAGCGCACATTTCCTGAATATATCGATGTTCGACAATATAAGAAAATGATAGAGGGAAAGAAGCCAGCTTAGAGAAAGAAAAGGTACAGAAAAACGATTGAGGTCGTCACTAGGCGCACAAGGAAACAACTTGTCGCGGATTTTGCTGCCCATGCGGCTACTGTGCGAGAATTTCTCATCGCATACGATTCGCGACGCCACTTTTGTCCTGATATAATTAGATCGATTTTGTAGTTTTGACAGTTGATGCGTCAATACAATGCAGCAACACGACTTACAACCCCACCTTTGTTCGCCACCTTAGTTCTAGATCAAGATCTTTCTAATTATTATAGCTGACCAGGTAACTAACTACCACAGCCATTCTATAATCCTCATCATGACCGACGCGGAGAACAGAAAAAAGTTTATGCAACTACTGCGCATGGGTGTACAGCACAAAGTACATAACCAACAAAAAAATCACGGAGTTTCATCAGAGATCGTGGGCAGAGATAGAGCTTTGGTCGATGAAAAGATGAGAAGTGAAGCACGAAGCGCCTCGCAGTCAAAACGTGGTTTAGGAGTAGCTGACTTGGTGGGTTGGCAGACATTGGCGTGGCGCAATGCATTCTCCATGGAGCCTTATTTTTACGAGACTGTTAAGGGCAAACAGTTGCGCATCAAACAGGTGCTGCAGGGAGAAGTTAACGGTTTTGGCACGGGTCTCACAGTGTGGCCTGCTGCTTGCGTGCTATTAAAATTGTTGGAATACCAAGCGCTCAGCAATTTGAAAGCACTTATCGAATCCGATGATCCGTTTGTGCTCGAACTAGGAAGTGGAACGGGCGTTGTGGGTATCGCAGCGGCGATGCTACTTCGAGCTGGTAGAGTCGTACTGACTGACATGGACAACATTCGCTTTATAATGCAGGATAACGCGGACTTGGCTCAGCAGGACGGTGTGATTGACAAGAAAGTGGTGGTCGATGTCAATGTGTACGAGTGGGGGCATTTTCCTACAAAAGATATTATTTCGTCGTCGAAAAAAGCATATCCTGACCTCATTTTGGTCTCAGATTGCATTCTTCCGAAATTGTTCCCGATCGAACCACTAGTAGAAGCCTTAACATTACTCAGCAAGCCTCATACCCGGATCCTCATCTCTTACGAACATCGCCATTATCAGAATTTTCAGCCTAAGCAAAGGTTCTGGGAGCTAATGGAGGCAAGAAACTTTTCTCTGCGCGCAATCGGTACGGACGAACATCATCCGCATTTCGTTGCAGCAGATATCGAGGTGTGGGAGATCACTCCATCGACTCAAGGGAAGCTGTAACAGTAAGCATTTTCACATTTTGTGATTTCCATTACACAATTAATATGTATTCAAAATACTCTTTGAACTCCGCTTGAAGTTGGGAATTGCTATGGCCAGTGCGAGACTAATAACCGTCATATCTTCTACTAGTATCAATCAATATTCTGTTTCAGCGCATCAATGAGCATAAATCTAGGTGTGGATTGTTCGAAGAGGAGTTGATCTGTGCTTCATTTTTACTCTTTGGCGGAATGAAAGCGCGGTGGTCTTCTACTAAGCCGTCAATTACGCTGTCTGCCGTCGGTTAAACCTTTAACTGCTTTTTTCTAAGCATCGTCAGTATCAGCGTAAATAAATAGAGGCGGAAAGATAGACATCGCGAGCAAGTGTCATATATATATATATACTACTTTCGATGACTACTTAATTGTGTTTTCATTCTGGGTGCCATAATTGATCGAGTGCTCTGCAAATCAGGCTGGCCATCGTGAGAAACGCATGTCCAATTATCAGCATCCCAGGCACTGACTTCAAATCTCATTTGCGACATAGAAGGAACCGATTTGTGAACCAAGTTGCCGCATTTGATATTTCAAGCTCGTGTTACATTTATGGTATAATTAGGTAAGTGACCTCTGTTATTGCCAAGTTTGTGGACGCCTATCGAAAGGCTATCGTCAGGAACTGTTACTCTGCCATTGGCCAAATTATGAAGTTAATCACACTTTAAATTAATCATTGTATCAAAGTTGCTAGATCGGTTATAAATATATACAAATCCGCGAATTCCCAGAACAAAGTATGGTATATAACCCTAGTGAACTTCGTAATTGTTAGCACAGTCAGAAAATGTTGCGCCTGTTTATGGTTTTTATCAGTATAGGCTACCTTCTTGCCTGGTTTATGTAAGATAAAGTTAAAGCGATGTGTTCCTTTTATATAAGTAACGTATGCAGCTAATTTATTTCAGTTTAAGTGAAAATTAAAAAAGCAGCAACATAGCAAAAAGCTTATTAAATAGGAGGGACTCATCTCACAGCCCTCCCACTATTCCACAAAGCGCGATCCTAAATTGCCCATTACCTAAGGCGCAGAATTCTATGTCATTACTGAACTGACTAACACCTCACATTGCACATTTAACTGATGCTGGCGCACAAATTATGAACACACTCGAGCCAACACCGTTTTTAGATAAAGAACGCTTGACTCGCTGGGTATATCTGGCTTTTGCCTTATCTACGCTATATGTTGTGGAACGAGCTAAAAGAACTAGGATTCCAAGTGAGGTAGGTCCTGCAGCAGCTTACGCATCAAACGCAGCTATGGAACAATTTGACAATGACCGCTATACGCATAGAATTTTTTCGGCATGGCGGCATCACTATTGCCCACGGAGCTTTCTCACGAGGTTGCATTATTGCATGCATGTCTGGCGGGCTTTTTGATCAAGCACAAGGTACCGATCTTCTCACACTGGAGCGGCGCATTTGCGGGGCTGATGCAGTGCATTAATGCTGCAAATCTTCTAGAATGGTACAAGCAAAACCTGTTGTCAAAAAAAGTTTTTCGCGATGCATTCGTGTCGTCAGATATCGATCCAGAAAAACTGAAGAATATTGGTGCTATGAACTTTAAACGATGGCTGACCGTGTTTTTGCCCTTGCCGCAACCATTGGCCATTTCGCTAAGTTACACTGCCGTCAGCAAAGTCTGCACAGTTACATATGCTTACGTGGGCCGAAATAAAACAAAACAACTTCTAATGGACGTCTACAGGCACCAAGACGCTCCACATATTGCTCCTATTTTTCTTTATATTCACGGGGGGGGCTGGGTTATCGGTGATCGTCGTATCCCGCCACTT